AACAACCCTACTCACAATGGGACAATTTGATTTAGTAATAAATTTATTTTGCTGTAACATAAAACGCTTTGAATTAACGGTCAGTTAAAATAAGGTCCCTTAAAGGGACAGACCGGCTTTGTAAGGTAGTTAAAATGAGTATGCAGTGTTGTGGACAAGTTCTTTAGGATTCATTTGAGACATATATATACAACTTTTCCACGATGTATAATTACTGAGCTTGAGCGCAAAGTCGACGTTCAAAATCATGAATTTGGGTGGGTACGTTTTCAGAATCTGTTTTTTTTTTAAATTATTAAAAACGACGAAGAAAAATATAGTATAGTAGACTAATTAAATGTTTATGAACATATTTCTCAGAAGAATTTTGTCAATAAATCGAAGTTAGAATTGATTATTTCCTTTTTCATCTTTATATTGAATTTCTTATTTTCTATGAATTTGTTCGCAGATCTCTTCAAATTCTTCTAATGTCGTCTTTTTAATAAAAATTCCAGAAAATCTTCAGAAAATCTTTGTGATTAAAGAGAGATTATATAAACTAATACTTGAATAAGATTACTTATTTTCGATGATAAGAGTTAATTTTTATTTTCTCAACCTCTTCCTAAACAACTAATTAGTTTACTGTATAATTTTGTTTACATTTTATGTCGTCGTTATTTGATAATTAAAAAAAACAATTCTGAAAACGTATACACCCAAAATTAGGAGTTTTCAGCGTCGACTTTGCGCTCCAACTCAGGATTTACAGATCTTTATGTCTCAAATGAATCCTAAAGAATTTGTCTGCATACTCAGTTCAACTACCTTACATAGCCGGTCTGTCCCTTTAAGAATTTAGTTTTTTTTTTTAATTATAATTCTTGGCCTACACCAGTCTCACGGGAATTTTAAAAGGTTTGTGAAATTAAGTTTTAAACATGACAAGATGGCATTTGAAATCAGGCTTTAAAGCTTTACTGGACAGAATCCAGCTTTACAACTATACTTGTTCAAATCCAGCTTTACAACTATACTTGTTTAAATCCAGCTTTACAACTATAATTGTTCAAATCCAGCTTTACAACTATACTTGTTCAAATCCAGCTTTACAACTATAATTGTTTAAATCCAGCTTTACGACTATAATTGTTCAAATCCAGCTTTACAACTATATTTGTTCAAATCCAGCTTTACAATTATACTTGCTCAAATCCAGCTTTACAACTAAACTTGTTCAAATCCAGCTTTACAACTAAACTTGTTCAAATCAAGCTTTACAACTAAACTTGTTCAAATTAAGCTTTACACTATACTTGTTCAAATAAAGTTTTACAACATACATATTCAAATCAAGCTTTACAACTATATTTGTTCAAATCAAGCTTTACACTATACTTGTTCAAATCAAGTTTTACAACATACATATTCAAATCAAGCTTTGCAACTATATTTGTTCAAATCAAGCTTTACAACTATACATATTCAAATCAAGCTTTACAACTTTACAAGATGGAATTCAAATGAAGGACTAATTTTTCACGCAATTTATCTACGCACCTTTTGTAAGAAGAATTCTATAGAACAGATTAACACATTTTATGCGTTAAAGATCTTTGACTCATAACTCAACATTTGAAAGTATAAAGGGGGGGGGCGGGGGGATTTGGAGGAAAAGGAACTGATTGATAATTTTACTTATTTTCTAATTTGTTTTATCTTTGCAACCTGATGTGCAGTGGTTGACCTTTTACCAAACTAAGAAATATCATAAGTCGTTCAAACCATCGTGTGGCTAAAAAGTAAATTTCAACGAATATTTATTTCTTTTAGGTTAAAAATACTTTTTATTGAGCATTGCGCACTCAATGAAATACAATAAAATATTTTATTAAAATATCTTAGAAATAATAATAAAATATAATTGAGAGTTAGACATTACAATACTGCATAAGAACTATAAGAAAAGAAATCTGAAAAAGAGGTCCCGTTATGAACCCCCCAGACCGCCGGCAGGCATGGGAAGCACCGCCCCACACCTACTCTAACTGGACCTTTATACCCACAACAATTAGCCCATTGTCAGAAGATAAAAAGGTGATACAATCCAGCCAGTGGCTCATCAATTAACTCCATTGGATGGTTGGTATCAAACAACCCTTTAGGCGAAGAAAAGAGGTTACCCGAATTAAGCTGTTCCTGACAAATCCATCCACCGCTCCAGCAGTAAGATTATCTTTGCGGTCCTTTTCAGCAGCACTTCTTTTGAGACATTATATCCCCCTAATATCCCAGTAAGGATTGCCGTACTGCTCCGAGGCCTCCCTGACATAAGGGCTCCTAGCCCTGTTGTAGACCTCTCATAGGCTACTGCTTGACAGGATACAACAACGTGATGCTCCGAAAGGTGGTTAACTATCCCTTTACTTAGGCATAGCGGACACCATTTAGTGGCGGAGCCATGGATGTTTGGGCGTCGATTTCCAAGCCCTGCATCCCCGGCTCTCAATCTGTT